GATTGGGTGATACTGGCTGGCATCTGCATTCACAAAGACACAAAATAGTGTACTATTTCAAATGAAGGTTCTTAATGCTCTGTTCATCATGGTTTCTCAGGAGGCCATCTGCCTTTCCCTGGAGGAGTACAACCAGCACATTGAAGAGCTGAAGCAGGAAATGGAAGAGGCCACAGAGAGCGCAAAACGTATTAGGGAAGACATACAGGAAATGAGGAACAAGTATGGTGTAGTGGATTCCCAAGAAAAGTGTGCTGCTTGTGACTTCCCATTGCTCAACAGGCCCTTCTATCTGTTCCTCTGTGGGCACATGTTCCACAATGACTGCCTGTTGCAGGTAACTTGCTGCACACAGGAATATTTCACTTTTTATTTGATTCAGTCAGTAATCAATCTGAATATGTCCTCTGACCTTTTTTTTTCTCCTTCTACGTTTTTTTTTAGGAAGTGACTCCTCATTTGTCGGCCTTCAAGCAGAATCGCCTGGAGGATCTTCATAAAAAGCTGGCAGCAACCACGCAATCATCCAAATCGCGCCACCGTCCAGCACCAAAGGATGAGGGTGACACATCAAGCTTGGGCAAGGCCACTGCGGGCACAAGCCGTGAGCAGATAAAATCAGACATTGATGACATCGTCGCATCCGAGTGCGTATACTGCGGCGAACTGATGATCAAATCTATCGACAAGCCTTTCATCGATCCGCAGAAATTTGAGGAGGAGAAATCCAGCTGGCTGTGAACAAAGACTTTTTTTTCTCTTCGTTACAAACTCACTATCTGTCAGCGAAAGTGGATGATCCACAGGACAGACACATTAAGCGGAGACATGCCGATATCCTGTTGGTAGTGCCTACTGCTGAACACTTAATCAGCTTCTGTCCTCTAGAAACTGCACTTGTTTTGTTGTCAGTATTTGAAACTGAACATTTGCACTAGGAGTATGTAGTGAAGAACATAGAGAAGACATAAACCAACCTGATCTATGCTTGTGCTAGAGTTGTATACTGCATACATGTGCCTAAACCTCAGATTATATATAAGGATACAACTGCTTTACACTCATTTCTAGCTGTTAACTGCATTATGTTGTGTATTTGTTCGATTCAGTGAAAACACAAAATGCACTAACAAAATATCTGCCTGTCCTAAGCTCTGTTTCTTCTCTCCAATTAATGCATCTGTGTTCATCTAAACATTATATAACATATTTGCTGTTTTTGAGTTCAGCTATGGCACAGTACAGCTTCTCAGTTATGACAGATTTTGTTTTTTGTTTTGTTTTGTTTTTTTGACTTGGCTTAAATGTAAAAAATATTTAACAAATCATCTTATGTTTACTGTGGAAAATGAAAAGCCCTGTGCTTCATCAAAGTTTCTCAAGACTGCAGTTGACTACTAACAGCCCAGTAAGTTAAAGGAAGATATGAAAAGAGCAGCATAAGTGAAAAAGATGCAACTGGTGATTTTGTGTAAACTGCATTTTAACAGGAAGATCTGAGTTTAAGTGATTGCAAATGCACGTGTCATTGTTGGGTTCGCTGCCTGCCAGTTTTTGGAAGTTTTTCTTTTCTTTTAAGTTACAATTGTCAGGATCAAGATTTGAGAGGCTGACAACTGGTACTATAATCCAAACACAGATGACAGGAAGCTAATGTGCCTAGAGTGGTGGACTTGCCATGTTCAATAAACAGATGTGCAAGAATTTTCCTGTATATTTAATTTTATTGTTGCAAAAAACGAATTATTGTTTCTGTTAGTTTTAATTTCTCCGAAGTCTAATTCTTATTTTTATTTCGGTTTACAGAAATAATTGGTTTATAAGTAACTTCAATTCTTAGTTTTAATTATAATAACCTTGCTACCAACTCCATGAGCCTGTAGTCATTATATAATTCAGTCATTATCAGAGACCATAACTGGTAAGTTAGATTATAAAATATGTTTTTCGTTGTTTTTGTCCTCCGAGAATCTTAAGCCAATTACTTACTTACATTTTTTCAAAATTTTGTGACGGTGTCCACTTTACCTAAAACGGAGTTCCCTTCTAGTGACGTAAGACGTAGCTCGGTAATCTTCGCAGCCAGCAGACACGATCAATCAACATCGGAAATTCATCGATACATTTACGTTAGTTGCAAAGACACGTTCCAAACCCGAAGGCATGATAGCGCTGTCTCGTATTTTATTAGCGAAATATACAGGTGAAAATTTTGTCATGGTCATGTCCTAGGAGACGTGGATAGGTTGGCTTCCTTCTCTCTGGGATTGATTAAAATGCCTGCTCCTTGCTGTACCTTCGCCATGGCGTCGTGTCTCTGCTCTCTCAGTAACAGAAAGTGGCCGCCTCTCCGCTGTTGCTGCCGACTCAAAGCTCACGGACTCGCTCGGCGTCTCAAACCGCCATTTTGGAGTCAGAGAACCGAGAGTCGGCAGCAGCGACGAGAGAGACTGAAAGGCGGACACGGGGCCGAGGTGAGAGACTCCGCGGTGGTTGTTATGGCGAAGGAGCAATGGGGAAGATGGCCGGGAGGGAGAAAGAATTAAAAGATGGGGATCATGCGTGCGCCAAGCAACCGAGCCGCGGCTCGTATCCGAAACGAGGGTCCAAGAGGCGCGGGCGGAGGCCCTAGCTGTCGCTGCATGGTGACAGCAAGCAAGCAAGCTAAAGAGTTGTCATTAAACCGATTTCATATCTTAATACATTGTTTAGGCAGGGAGGTGGTGGCCTTAAAGAGACAGGGCCGATTTAAATACTTCATATTAATGGTGTGAGAGGACGAAGGTGTCAAAACGCCTTAGTATTTGATAAGCTAACTAGCTAACGTTAATGATACGCTAAGTTACAAAGATAGCAAGGAGGGGCTAGCTATAGTAAAACTACCTGTGCTACCTAATTGAACTGGCGTGGGCAAAGCCGTCAGTGAACGTCTGTAGCAGCACATTGAGCCTCTTTACTGTCACTGATCCGAGGCAATGCTGCTTTTGCTGACAGCTAACGGTCGTTAGCTTTGAAGCTACAGTATTGCTGAAGGTTAGCTAGCAAGCCCTGGCTAACACTAGCTTGGTTTTGCTATCCACCAAAGCACAACGTAACGACGTGATAGCAATGCTATTTAAAAAAGTATTTATTTTTAAACTTTAGTCCCTTGCAGCCTGCTACATTTGAGGAAATGAACTCACAGAAAGTGAAGTGAATAAATACCATAGCGTTGTTTATGGGTATTGTTGTGGACAGCTGAGTTAACTTTAGCATGGAAACTCTCAAAACAACCACCTGACTCTTCATAAGGACCTAATGCATAATAACACTTAATTGATTACACTATGCCTAAAGTTTAATTTTATTTTTTAATAAACTGCAAGGACTGAAAATGATTACCAAGATTACTTAGACACACTATCGAGCATAATATATGGCTGATTATAACGTATCATAACTTATTTTTTTATTGAAAATAAACTAAAATAAATTCTCAAAATTGAGTTCAAAGCACAATTTAGTGTACGACGTATTTATACTGAAACATGGGAGCAAATTATTTTTACTTTAAACCGATAGAGATGTCCAAATAAACTAACTTTTCCTTTGTCGTTTTGAAATCACGTGCATAAACACTGTTAGTACAGCACTGTAAAATGAGCCTCTAATAAAAGCTTTTGTCTTTGCCATTTAATTGTCAGTGTGTGACTGCATTTCTTATTTTGTAGGCTTGTCATCTTGATCATTAGTGTTGGAATCGAAAATCAATGCCATCCATTATTGAGAAGGTATGTCCAATAAAAAAATAAAATAATAGAATAAACATTTTGTAGAATGAACAGTATCATACTTCATATCTGTGCATTTGGAGGCAAGTATTTTGTTTTTGGTGTAAGTGCCTTTTTTCTGACCTTGACAAAAAAAAATGTAGGCAGTAATTATGAAATCTTTAAACATACTAGGAGATTATCTCCCATTATACCAGATTAGCTGAGAAAATGAAGCAATGTACAGTTCCTTTTAGTCTGGACCATTTTTACTCTTTAGGTGAATAACATTAAAATGTTTTTCTTCACATAGATGTAACTTTCCTGTACTGCTCATTCTTACCTTGTGCCATTTGCACATCTATTTCTTCCATACTTCTCTCTTCAGTAAAAGGTCCTGCCCTGCTGGGCAGAGGTGGTCTGTGGTGTATGGCGTCAGGGCAGGGTGGCCAGCTGGAGGTTGGGGTATCAGGGGCCTCCAGCCTAGCCAAACCTCTCTACCTACAGCGCTTAGAAAGATCCCTGAAGTTGGACAGTTTTTTGCGTCAAACCGCTGCTATCTTCAACAGAGACATAACCAGGTACAGAAAAAGAGGTGCTGATAGTCACTTGTTGCTTCCAGGCTAAGGTTTGTTTTGGCCACCTATAAAAAAAAAAAAAAATGAAGTGTTTGCAGCAATCTTCCCATCTTATCAAAATTAAACTGTATATTGTGTTTATATATATATATATATATATACATATATATATATATACATATACATATATACAAATTTAGATGTTTTGCATGGTTGATTGCACCTCTTGTCATCTGCTTTACATTACACTGTCTAAGAAGAGAACGGATAATATACAAATAGGATGCAAATGTTGAGCTTACGGCCATACATTTCTCTTGTAGTGATGATAGCGATGACAGCGAGGGTGGACTGGAGCCAGGGATATCCCTGGATGCCACCACTCATGATACGGCTTTGACAATAAAGAATGAGTCGTGTGATCAAGGAGATGGATTGGCAGATGGCAAGCCGCTTAATGGAGTACTTCTGCAAGGTAAAGGTAAGATGTATTGAGAAATGTGTTAGTGACATGTTGCTACACATCCACACTCATTGGTTTAATGAATCTTTTCATGCATATTTATCCTGTGTTGTTTCTTTTTTTTTTTTTTGTTTCACAGACCAAAAGGCAAATAAAACAAGCCTTTACAATTTTTCTAAGCTGAAGAAGAACAGGAAATGGCTGAAGGTATTTACACTGGCTAATACTGGCCTCTATATTTGAAGAATTTTAGTTTTATATCTACCTCCTCTCTCATAGGATACGTTTGTGTGTCACATGCTCTCAGCTTCCTTTAACCATGCCTGTACCTACTTTTTTTCTCATGTAGAGTATCTTGTTGAGTGATGACACCACAGACTCAGATACAGACTCAGATGACGCTAACTTCAGCATGTCTCGGGAAGAACTACATGACATGCTGAGGCTCCATCGTTACACGAGGCAGCATCAGAGCAACTTCTACTCTGACCGGGAGGTACAAATACACACATAAATAAAGAACACTATTTGCTAATACTTTGTGTCAATTTAATGTCATTGTAATAATAAGCTTCTTTATTAAGTTCTTAATCAATAAGTGCTACAAAACAAAAAGAGCAAATAACTCTGCTTGTGCTTGATTCATAGTGGTTTCTCATAATTTCTTCTGGTTTAGCGTCATTTAGCTGTCGAAATGTGTTGGAAATCCCCTCTCAGAGAGTCAGAACATAATGCAGGATGTAGCTCTGGTGCCAGAACAGGTGGTGAAATATATATTTGGGTGAAATCAATGGCATGGCCATGCACAATTTGCCTCAGGGATAATATATAAGAAGCAAATAAGTGGGAACTCAAAATAGTACCTTGGGGAACCCCACTAAATAAAGAAGTACAGGACAAGACATTTACTTTTAAAAAATGAAAATCAGCCAATTCAGAGCCTCGTCACCTACAACAAAGTTCTTCAGACATATTAATTAAGATGTATCATGCTCCTCTGTGTGTTTGTGTTTGCTCAGCTTCACCAATATCAGTACTACAGCACGGGACTCTTATCTACTCATGATCCCTTCTATGAGCAACAACGCCATCTGCTGGGTCCAAAGAAAAAGAAAATCAAAGATGAAAAGAAATTTAAGGGTAAGCAGAAAAAAGGCACGCCAGTGTCAGTGCCTTTAAGGAAAACAAAAACAAACAAGAAAAACATATTTTAAAACTGCAAACAAGATCTACCTTTTCATTTAAATGTCTTTCCTTTTTTTTTTGTAGCCAAACTAAAAAAAGTAAAGAAGAAGAAGAAACGGGGAGAGGGAGAATTTGTGGATGAGGAGCGTCCCTTCGTCACCAAAATATTTGCTAAGTTTTCCCATGATGCTCCGCTGCCCATGGTGAAGAAAAAACATCTCACCGTCGAGCAGCTGAATGCTCGCCGACGCAAAGTCTGGCTCACCATTGCCAAAAAAGAAATCCCCAAGGTTAGTTAAGCAAAGAGTCAGTTTTGTTTTGATGTTGGTCCCATTTTTCCAACATTTTCTAATGCCAACTGTCCCATTTCTACTTTTTTCAGTCCTTCAAGCAGAAGACTTCTGCTAAGAATCTGGTATTAACCAATGCAAAAAAGGTGAGTAAAGTGTACACAGCACTGTATGGCTAGGTACGTTTAAAGCATTTTGTTAAATGTTTTTGGTTTTGCACACGTGTTCAGCGTGTTGGTAACTCTCCATGTCTGTATATTGCAAAAGTAACTTTTAACGTGTGATTCATGTCCTCTTAGCTGGCTCACCAGTGCATGCGAGAGGTCCGGCGTGCAGCTATTCAGGCTCAGAAGAACTGTAAAGAAACATTACCCCGTGCCCGGCGTCTTACCAAGGAGATGATGCTCTACTGGAAAAAATATGACAAGGTGGAAAAGGAGCACAGAAAGAGAGCCGAGAAGGAAGCCCTGGAGCAACGTAAACTTGATGAAGAAATGAGAGAGGTCTGTGACAAGGAAGTTATTATGGAGACATTTTTAATTTGCCATTACAGGTTTTTTGAAAATCCTAAATATAGATACATTTTTCTCCCTGGGTTTTTTTTTTTTTTTTTTTTGACTTAATAGAAACCAAGCGTGAGCGGCGCTAACTGAATTTTCTCCCTTTACCACTTCGGGTATATTATGGAGACATTTTTAATTTGCCATTACAGGTTTTTTGAAAATCCTAAATATAGATACATTTTTCTCCCTGGGTTTTTTTTTTTTTTTTAAAGTTAATGAGGTTTGCTCTCCTTCTCCTCAGGTCAGAGTGATCCCATTGGAGCTTCAGAGGCTCTTTGCCCATCTGTTGCTAGTGGACCAGCAGAGTGCTTCCACTGCTGGCCTTACTGACAGCTTTGGCTGGAACAGCAGTGAGGTATGTGCACTTTATTTGCTTCATGGAGGAGGAGAAAGCGAGGCTT